ACTTCTATACAACGAAAGGAGACTGCGACCACACAAAAGGCCACACCATCTTGGTCTTCATATCTTGCATCTTACTTATTCTTCGTTTAGAATTAGGGCCACGAGACTACCAGTGAATCAGTTATATGAGATGTATTAAGAATATATATATTCAGTGATAAGGTCTGGCAATCACTCATCCAAACAAATAATAAAATGATTCATTTTATAGACTATAGAGTAAAGAAAGACGCACAAGCCACCTCTTGCCTACAAGATTAATCTGCTCATAAAGGATGAATAAAATGGAAGCTGGTATATGCAATATATCCTTTAAGGAATTCGTCGAAAGTTTTCTAAGAGCATTAGCTATTTCATACGCCAAAAGAACACGTATTATGTTATTTAGATGATTTCAGCAAGTTAGAATAGCTGTAAGCTTACTGCAATACACAATTAACATAAGTCGCATCAAAAGTACCCTGATGGTGTTTCCGTAAAAAAACAAAATCGCAATCGAGGATTCCGTATGAAGCTAAAAATTACATCATTTTAGAAGACATTATAGCGCTAACAATTTATATATTGAAGTTAAGGCAATCATATTTACTTCTCACGTAGATCGGAGAACAGAAAGACGTAGGCGAATAAACTAATGGCATAGGAAGAAGAGGAAGAGTACAAAGGAGAAAAGAAAAGGTTTAACCGGAAATTCTGAGTTTCAGTCGGATAGAACAAGTGAGTAAGACAAAATATAAGATAACAAGATTAACTGTAAAAGAATGTAGATAGTTAAATGAATAGTATATCTAAATAAGAACTTCCACACCAAATTATATGCTGCTTTTCTTTATCAACAAACAGTTGACAAGGGCCGGTTGGACTTAAAACTTAAGGCAAATTCCTCGAAATTTGGATTCCAAATGAAGGCAAACACCGGATGAAAGCAAAATTATGAAAAATCGAGCTTTTTACCAGATGAGCAAATGGCTAGATAGACCTTTTCATTAATAAATTATTTCTATTTATACTTTACTCCTACATTATTTTATGTACATGTGCAAATAAAAGTAACGTAAATTAATTTCCTAATCTGAATCGACTGTTATGAACAACTTGGAGAGGAAAGAACAAATAATTCATATTTGATATAATATTGCGTAAGCTTCTAAGGTTAGAAAAAGTCGGCCAGAGGAAGCTCACGAACTAGCTGCACAAGTTGCTGAATCTCGATGCCCTGAAGTCCATTCCTTATATCTGTGTCTTGAGTCGACAAGTAAACACTCCAAGCAAGCCGGCAAGATTCTGGCCAGAGTCCGGCCTCAACAAGGCGGGAAATAAGGTAGCGGCCAAAGCCTCTTCTATGCAGTCTTAAACCGGAAAAACTACTCAGGCATCCTGGACGCAATAGGACAGCCTCGGCAGCACGGAAAGCGGTAATGAACAAATATGCTGAGTATTGGCCAGCAAATGTGGTCGTCTGAGCCAATTTGGATTCTTGGCTAGTGGTACATAAGAGAATAGCCTCGGTAACAGTTTTGGTTGGAACAGCCAGGAGACACCAGATGTCTGTGTGTAGCCTGAGGAATTGAAGCAGTGCATCTGAATCCAAGTTATCGATAATCTGCTCACCAACTTTGAAGTCAGCAGATGAGTTTGCTTCCCCATCGGAGAAACATGCGAGGCGTTGAGCTGCCTCGAGTGCTAACCAACGGAAATTCGAAGCTAGAGCAAGGCTGTAAGTAGCCGCGGATATGTCAAGACTGTAGGTGGGTGAATTCGAGTTGACTTTGTCACTGGCGGAAGATGCTACTAGCTTAAAGAGAGCAAATGAGTAGGTGTATGGAGGCAGAGTGGAGGGAAGCCAGCGGTCGAGAAGGTAGTGGCGCCGACAAACTCCATCGGAACGACTTGGAGCGAATGAGAAGATGTTCTGGCTGTGTTGGAACCAGGTACACCAAAGAGAGACTATCCAGAGGTCATGAGCTGATATGTAAAAATTTAGGTTAAAAATAAAAAGGAGAAAGATTTGAAAAAATTAAAGGAAAAGCAAATCTATCAAACATGAAAAGTAATGCGAGAAAGAGTAATCCCATTAGAACCCGAAAGAGAGATCAGAAGGATGGTTAATTTTTGGTGGTAATTATGCCCTATAAATATACAGCAATCTAGACATCAGTTGCACAGAAACAATAAAATCCCTTTAAAGTAAAAAATCAAATACAAAGTATGAAGCCAACTCTTATATCAAGGTGATAGCAAAGGAAAATGCAGGATTCTTAAATAACCTGCCGACGCGACACGAGAAGATCGACAAATAGGATTGCTCATGGCTTTTTCGCGTCAAATGCGTTAAATGTGAGCAAAGTATATTATTGAAGTGAGAAGAAAAATCGGCCTACAAATCTAGGAACATCAAAAACTCTATAAAAACATGAATACGGAAAGATCCGAAGTAGCGGAACACATTGCACGGACGGGACACGAAATCGACTGGAAATCGTCAGAAATCCTGGCTGCATATGATTGAAATACAAGAAAACGCAAAATACGAAAATGCATCGATATCCTGCCTAAAAGAAATCTATTGAGCAGAGGACTTGAAAAATCAGGATCAGCGAAGACTTTGCATATTGCCTAAGCAAACTAGAATAAGAGCTGGCAACAGTAAGATAGAAAAAACGATTTGATCAAGGGAATATCTTTAATTTTAAAAAAGAAATCACAAGGAGAGCAGAAAGGAACAATCAGAAACCAAGGAGAGAAGTCTACAGTGAGCCTAATAAAAACAAGTAGAACCATAACATTTGTGGGTTGGTACACAAGAGACTAAGGCACAATAAGTCATAAACTTGGCGCTATGAATAGAGGCACGATAGATGTGGCGGAGACTAGAGCTGATTGGCTAACAATTTGATCATAGATGTGGCCCATGAAGCAAAGGCTTGACGATGAGAATTACTCGGGATCTATAGCCTAAAATTGGTACCCCATCCATCTTGAGAATCCTGATTTTTAGGAGCCTACTCACCAAGGCGGGAGTATGTGTGCCGTCAAAGGCTTGCGATAGTGCGAGAAATAACGTTTAGAGTAGTACAGATATGGTGGCAGGAGTCGAGTGAAATACCTGAATCAGGAAGGTAGGAGGCGGATCCTACGGAACGAGACTCTGATAAGACTTATGGGGATTGCGGAATAATATGGCAGACTCTGATCACCATTCCCAACACAAGGATAAAGGGCGGTGAGGGATGAGAAAGCCAGCGTGGGGTATAGAGTTCTCATGAAATCCCGTCAAAAGGGCACACCATACCACATTCAAATGAACAATTAAGAAAGTATGATAGTGAAGGGGAGATATGAGGATATAAGATTGATA